TGAGTCATTTTGGTATTCTGATGGTGGTGGGTTAATCCTACTATGTCCTAAAGGTCATGTCCTGCTTCACAGGTGCTGGGGCTGATAGTTATGTCCTGTGTTGGATTTTTTGGGTGAGGGGTTGTTGGTTCTAGGGATCTTTGTCTTTCTAATCCCATCAGTTCTAAGCTTCCTGACTCCAGTCTTTCTGAAAGGATTATCAAATCTGCATTTCTACAGACCTGGCCGAGACCAGGGGGGGCTGGGGGTTTCTGCCTAAGATTTTCTACTATTCCTTTGTGGAAATATATTCTGCTTTTTTTAATATCCTCCAAAATATTTATTTGGGTGGGTGCTGTCTTCCTACAGCCTCTTTCCTAGGGCTGAGAGAGAGTGGCTGCCAAAATTTGTACCTAAGGTGGGATTAATATTCATGGTCTTCTTTCTAGATTGATATCAAATTGGCTCTTTTTGTAAGTTTGCAGCAGGCTAAAAACCACCAGCCAATCACTGCTTCCTCTTTCTGGTCAATAGCTGAGGCTACAGAACTTTTCAACTGTTCTTTGATGGCTACTACCAACATGACTTGTTCTATTCTTCAGTTTGTGCACTCTTTCCTCTTTACCAATAATAAAACAAGACATTGTTAGTGTTTCCCCCATCTTTCATTGCTCACAAGGGTGGCAAAGGTCTCTTGCCTTTCAAAGTCTTAATTCTGGCACACCAACACAAACTAGCAATGTATCGGCACACCAACACAAACTAGCAGTATATCTAGAACAGAGGCGGGCAACTATGAGGCCTTGGGGACATAGAACAGTTTTCTGATATTTTAAAAGATTACAAGAGGACTGCTCGTGATGTTGCTGCATTATAAGGAGTGGTTTGGCTTTTTTTTCCAGTCCGTGTGTGTGTGTGTGTGTGTGTGTGTTGTCTGTGAAAATGTAAAATTTATCCTGTTTCATTTAAGCTTTAGATTTGATTCCCCTTTCTTCCATCTTTCATTCAAAATCATTAGTGAATATAACAACTAATTCAGGACTTAGGTCTAAATCTTGTAATGGCTCGCTTAATAATCTCACTTGTGTTTTATGAGGATCTGATGATGAACACACCTTGAAGGATGTTTTTGCCAGTTGGGATATATATTTATATCTGATGTCATCCAGACCACACCAGACTAGCTGATTAATCATGGAGTTCTTGTCAACTCCTTTGCTGGAATAAAGATATATTACAACTACTACATTCCCCACAAGAGACTAAGGAAGTGATTCGGTCCAAACATCAAATAAGGTAAATATCTTCTTTGACAAATCTATTGCTGACTTTTGACAATGACTGCATTATCTTCCAAATGCCCGCCATTAATCACTTAACCATCTGCTCAGGAAATTTGATGAGGTATTGTTGTCAGAAGGACTGATCTGTTGTTTGTTGAATTTTCTTTATTCAGATAAATATGGCATTTATTCCCCCGGCCATCATCAGCTGTCTTCCAAAATTTAACCATTGGAGAACTGGAGGAGGAGGAGCACGTAAGCCAATTTGAAAAGCATCCTTTAATTCCCATAATTTCATGGACATACAATTACTTTTCATGAGATGGTTAGCCATATAAATTTGATTAATAATTATACCTAAGCGACCATTCCACAAACAATATCCTTCACCAGTTACACTATGGAAATACACTGTACTCCCTTTATTCTGTTTATCACGTGTTTGAATCTGCCAGTGGTCTTTCCTTTCCTTTCCTTTCCTTTCCTTTCCTTTCCTTTCCTTTCCTTTCCTTTCCTTTCCTTTCCTTTCCTTTCCCTTCCCTTCCCTTCCCTTCCCTTCCTTTCCTTTCCTTTCCTTTCCTTTCCCTTCCCTTCCCTTCCTTTCCTTTCCTTTCCTTTCCCTTCCCTTCCTTTCCCTTCCCTTCCCTTCCCTTCCCTTCCTTTCCTTTCCTTTCCTTTCCTTTCCTTTCCCATCCTTTCCTTTCTCCTTCCCTTCCCTTCCCTTTCCTGTATGTTTTATTGCTCATTTGTTTTGTCCTTTCTCTGCTCATTTGTTTTCCTGGCTGTAGATATAGCTAGCTCATTTATCTAAGTAAAATTGTCCTTGACCAGTTGTTTTTTTTTCCTTTGCTCTTTCTTCTCTCTTCTTTGCTGGCTGCTCTGTAATACAGCATCTGTGTAATTCTATCAGGGTTATTAACCCACCCCAGGTATAGTTTCAAAAAGAACAATACCTTCAGCTTAATTATATAGATTTCCCACGCCTTCCCCAATAATGCTGATTATTATGGTTTTAGAGAACAATTGTGAATTAATCAGAAAATTAGGACAGAAATCCTGCTGTAAAAGTACCCCTTGAAACAAGATCGGCTTAGCTGAGACGGTGAATATGACATCCATTGCTCTGAAATTAAACAAAGGGTAAAGGTCGTGCATTCATTTTAAATGCTCACATGTTGATAGTTAAGAAGTTTTATTGAAGCATTACAGTCTCATGCACTCTATTTCTGCTTTGTTTTACCTCTGTAGATGCTCTTATTGTAAAGATGAAGAATCATTTTCAACTAATAACAGCCCTCTCCCCCTCCTTTGCTCATTTACCAATGTTCATAACAGCCTTTTCCTTCCGACCAACTGATTGGGGCTCAAACTGAACATATCAAACGCAATCTTAAAACCCATTTTGCTTTTGATTCTCATTCCTGCTTTGTTTTGATCATTCATCACATTGAAGTGTCATGATTTCTGAAACCAAATGATGGGCTATTTTATAGGTTGTCATATCATAAATTGCCGTAGTCTGTATGTATGGGGAACATCTACCTACTTCAAGTAAGGCTATCTGGAAGTGAGAACAATAATTCTCGCTGATTATGTATTGAAGCAGATTTCGAGAAGAGCCACTTAAGGCTCCAGCCAGACCGTTTTTCGAGAAGTATGTTTGCCTCTTTCTTCTTCTATAGTCAATTAATCTTGATCCTTCGTGTAGAGGCAAGTCATTCAGAGAACAGAGGCTATTTCGGAGTTTGTTTACTCCCAGCAAAGAAACACAGTTAATTTCAATTTTCTGAAGGAGTGTGTGTTTGCAGAAGCATACATGGTCAACACTTATTATACGCATACTTCATATTTTTAAGAGTAGACTGAATTCAAGGCATGAAAGTGCTCTAGATTCATCACATCAAAGCGAGATTTGCTAAGTGCTCAATTTCTTACTATATTAGATGTTTTCTGTAAAGTAAATAAGCAGAAATACTGGAAATGAATTTTATTTGATATGGGCAGTTTTTCTGAATACTTTTTAACTGTATAGTGATTCCTCCTTCCTTCCTCCTTCCCGTTGTTCTCTCCCCTCCCTTCTCTTCTCTTTTTTCCTACTAGAGGAGGAAGGCAGAAAAAGGAAGGAAGGAAGGAAGGAAGGAAGGAAGGAAGGAAGGAAGGAAGGAAGGAAGGAAAGAAAGAAGGATCAACTGGGAGAGTATTCAAACTTACACAGCTCCGCCATATTTAATCTTATTTTATGCAAACAAGTACTGTACATATATACTAAGTATGTAATCAAATTTGCAATTACTTATGGATTAATTGAAACATACAATTTGGCTATGAGTACCAAAACATTTGTATACTACTGGTGTTCTTTTTTAGAACAATATAGTACTGGTTTGCCATTACTTTCCTCTAGGAGAGCAGTAGCACACGGTTAGAATGAGGTATTGTAGACTAACTCTACCCACAGCCAGCAGTTCGATCCAAGGTTGATTGAGACTTCCATCCTTCCGAGGACAGTAAAATGAGAACCTAGATAGTTGGGGGGGGGGCAATATGCTGATTCTGTAAACCATTTAGAAAGGGCTGTAAAGCACTATGAAGCAGTATATAAGTCTAAGTGCTATTGTTATTGATAGAATATTTTTTTTTACTTCTCAACATTCTAGAATTTCCATGTAAGTACTAATCAAGTCTGATTCTACTTGGCTTTTTAAGATCAGCCAAGGTTAACTAGGTGCTACCACTGGGGATAAGAAGTGAGTGGTGTTTAATAGATTTACAGAAACTATCCTTTGAAAATTATAGGGAAGGAAATATTCCACAGATAGTGAAGAAAACTATCATGTGAACAATATATATATATATATATTTGGGCGCTTGGTCTTTTTGTTCATTTATTTATTCAATTGTTATTGCTGCCCTTCCCAACCCAGTGACTCTGGGTAGCGTATAATTCTAAGCTCTGGTACAGCTGAATATTTGTTCAATCCCTGACCTTTGGGCTAAAACAGATCTTTTAAAACTTTATCCTTTCTGCATTTCGCTGTTGGAAAAAATCATTTGGGAATGGAATGGCAGCTGAGATAGATAGATAGATAGATAGATAGATAGATAGATAGATAGATAGATAGATAGATAGACAGACAGACAGACAGACAGACAGACAGACACAGAGACAGACACACACAGAGACAGACACACACACACAGAGAGAGAGAGAGACAGAGACAGAGAGAGGGGGGGAAGGGGGGGAGGGAGAGGGAAAGGTAGGGAGGGAGGGAGGGAGAAAGGGAGGGAGAGAGAAAGAGAGAGAAAGAAAGAAAGAGAGAGAGAGAAAAGAGAGAAAAAGAGAAAGAGAGAGAGAGAAAGAGAGAGAGAGAAAGAGAAAAAGAGAAAGAGAAAAAGAAAGAGTGAGAGAGAAAGGGAGGGGGAAGGAGAGAGGGAGAGAAAGAGAGAGAAAGAGAGAGAAGAGAGAGAAAGAAAGAAAGAGAAAGAAAAAGAAAAAGAGAGAAAGAGAAAGAAAGAGAGAAAAGGAAAGGGAAAGAAAGGATTCAGAGAAGCATAAAGCACCACCATTTGATGGTTCTTAGATCTGCCACCTTGGCTTCCCAATAGACTCACTTTTCAAGCAGAACCAGCTCTGGTGCAGCTGAATATTTGCTCTTAATGGTTGACCTTTTGGCTAAAGACCGATCATCACTACCTAAAGCCCAGCCAGTAATTTAAATCAAAGCATGCATAACTCACGGAGCAAGCTTTGCTAAAGATGATTGGAGGCTGGTAATAAAATGTCCTTCAGCCATTCTCTGCCATCCAAATGAAACTGTCACCAGCGCTGTTGATCTGAGACAAGTGCGACTGTGTGTCCTTTACATGATCACTGCTCTCAAGATGAAACTGAGATTAATCAAGAATGTTGTCATCAGGTTTTGCTTCTTTAAACAAATGAATGCTTGTAAAGAATAATAAATTATTACACTAGGGTGGCTGACATTAATCTAAACTGATTTTTTTTTTTTTTTGCAGCACAAGGTTCTAACTTGCAAAGCAAAAAAAAAAAAAAAAGAATCTATCCAGCACTTCAACATTCTTTGCAATTTCATTGCCTTGAATAAATTCCATCAGCTTGAAAGAGGTTTTTTTTTTTTTTTTTTTTTTGAGTGCCAAATTCTAAAGGTAAAATGGACTGGAGCTACTTTTTCTTTTGTTTATCCGTTTTTATTTGTTTGATTGCTTCTTCTGGTTGCCTATCTGTTGATCTTATTATTTTCTTCCTGTGTGGTACCTGCTCTTAAATACCTTACTTCAATTGCGGTGGTTGTTATTGTATTGTATTCCAGAGGAAAGAAGAAGAGAGATTTGTCTCCTTATTACACAAGTTTGTGCTCTGAAATAATTTAAATTGTAAGCTTTTGCTTCTAAGCATCCGCTCTGTTTCTTTCCTCTTTTTCAGTGGTTCAGTTGCCTGCAGACTACATGAAGAAGAAAAGAGTAAAATTCTAGTACCCTTCATAATTCCCAATTTACAGTTCCATTTCCCTGTATTTCTAATTTCTACTTTACCGTTCTCCATTTTCTATCCATTAGGGGGGAAAAGGAATAAAGCTGTGTATTAGGAAAATTCAATGGTCGTTATTGTGTTATAAGGGATCTTAAACATTCTGCTCGGTTTCTTAGCTGGTTGCAACTGTGGCCCAAAGCTACTAAGTCAATTTCTTGAAAATTGGGAATTGGGTATGTCTAGTCTAATGAAGAGAAGGACGAGGGGTGACATTATAGCAGTCTTCCAATATCTCAGGGACTGCCCCAAAGAAGAGGGAGTCAAGCTACTCTCCAAGTTATTCACCATAGAAGAGTTACTCACTCAGAAGATCAACTAAGATGATTAAAGTCCTGGAGACCAAAACATAAGAAGAACGGTTGCAGGATTTGGGTTTGGCTAGTCTACAGAAAAGAAGGACTAGGGGGGACATGATAGCAGTCTTCCAATATCTCAGGGGCTGCCATAAAGAAGAGGTGAATCAACTTATTTTCCAAAGCGCCTGAAGGAAGGACAAGAAGCAATGGGTGGAAACTCATCAAGGAAAGAAGCAACCTAGAACTAAGGAGAAACTTCCTGACAGTTAGAACAATTAACCAGTGGAATAACCTGCCTCCAGAAGCTGTGAATGCTCCAACACTGGACGTTTTTAAGAAGAGACTGGACAGCCATTTGTCTGATGTGGTATAGGGTTTCCTGCCTGAGCAGGGGGTTGAACTAGATGACCTCCAAGGTCCCTTCCAACTTTATTATTATTAAAATAGTGGGGACTTGAACCTGGTTGGGATTTTGGTTTATTTGTTTTTTGATGTGGTTCTGGTGCAACCCCTTAATCACTACACCACAGTGGTTGTCTCATATACTTGCCTGGACCTTGAACCTTCTGATTGGATGAGTTGGATTGCACTGGGTTGCGTTGGAAGCATGTTGAGCATAGACGTTTCCCACGTCTTTCCCGCCGTTACAAACATTTTCTTACAAACACAGACCCCACACACACACATGCACACACAGACACACTTTCAATGAGTTTGCAATTTCTAAATGTACCGTAAATGCCGACGTATAAGGCGACTTCCACGAGCACTGAAATTGGCGCCAAAGACAGGGGTCGTCTTATACGCCGAGTCGTCTTATACGCCGGAAATACTGGTAGTTTCTGGCGTATAAGACGACGTTCTAGGAATGCGGCCCGGCTATAAAGACGGGGGTCGTCTTATACGCCGAGTCGCCTTGTACGCCAGCATTTACGGTACATTGTTTGCTTGTTTCTGTCCCGCCTTTGTTATTTTTACAAATAACTCAAGGCAAGGAATATATCCAACCCAGCTTTTCTGCTTCTATTTTCCCCATAACAACAAAGTTGTGAGATGGGTTGGACCGAGAGAGAGAGAGAGAACTGGCCCAAAGTCACCCAACTGACTTTCATGCTAGAACTCTCAGTCTGCGGGTGATTGGCCAAAATCACCAAGCCAGCTTTCCTATCTAAGGCGGGACTAGAATGCAACATCTCCTGATGATTGGCTCAATGTCCCCAGATGGCTTTGATGGCTAAGGTGAGACTAGAACTCACAGTGTCTCCCACTTTCTACCCCAGCACCTGAACCACTAGACTAAACGGGGTCTCTAAACCGCTGTAATGTTATAGAGGGAGCCACAATTATCATAATTATCACAGCATATGAGAAATTGATGTATGACTGATTCATATATAAACCTCATACAAGAAAGCAAGGCGTAAAGGTCCAAAATAAAGTCTTCATTTATCCACAGACATGTCAAACACAAGGCCCGGGGGCCAGATGCGGCCCACGAAGTGGTTTCATGTGGCCTGTGAAGCCATCCTGGAAACAGTGAGGGAACGGCCCCCGCTGCCTTGGCCCTGGCCCAGGCCATCTGGGAGCCAATGTACAATTTTGTGGTGGCCATCTATGCTGAAACACATTTAGTCTTAGCTCCACAAGGCTGTCTGGAAACAGCGAAGAACCAGCTCCTGCTGCATTGGCCACGTCCCCTGGGTGTATGCTGGGGAGGTGTCACCCTTTGTGAGGAATGAAGAAATGGACCAGGCCTTAGCACTTGCCCCGGTCCCACCCCCTTCTGCCAGAGACCCTCAGATCTTTCCCACTCCTGCCCAGGCCCACACAGGCACCCTTGATGTGAACGATATAAAGCTGGTCATGCCCACCAATTAGGCCACACCCACTCCATCCACGCCCACCCAGTAGGCCACACCCATGCTGGCCACACCCACCCAGCCCCTCCCCCTGAGGGCAACCACAATGCTGATGCGACCCTCAATGAAATTGAGTTTGACACCCCTGATTTATCTGATCCAATCCCTTTTCCAACTTCTGATAGCAATCCCAATCGTGGAAGAAACAAAGGAAAAATGAAAGCTTTGGATGCCAAGTTTTAAATAAGAAATATCCACAGAGATTTAAACTAATATTGGGATTTGATTCCTTCCAGTATATAAATTACTCAGTGAGAGCCTATTTCTTATAGAAAGTTTTTCAGACAGCTGGTCTGATTCATTATACCTTGACATTTTTAACTGCTACACTGCAGTTATACTTTTTTACAATCTCTTTGTCAGAAAAAGAAATGTTATATATATATATATATATATATATATATATATATATATATATATATATATATATATATATTCTGAGGTTTTCGTGGGTGTTTGTATGTAGGTCTTTGGTTGTTCGGGTTTTCTCCCGCGTAAAATTGGAAGTGTCTTGGCGACGTTTCGACGAAGTCTCATTCGTCATCTTCAGGCTGGTGTTTTCGGCTTCGTGCTTCTAGGAGCAATGTGTGATCATAGCTGTTTCTTCCAAGCTCCTAACCAATCAGAACACGCCTCCATCCAATCAGAACACAGCCAAGCTCTCATCCAATCAGTTCATACCCCCACTGGCAGTTAAAAGTAAGAAACAGCTACGATCACATATTGCTCCTAGAAGCACGAAGCCGAAAACACCAGCCTGAAGATGATGAATGAGACTTCGTCGAAACGTCGCCAAGACACTTCCAATTTTATGTGGGAGAAAACCCGAATAAACAAAGACCTATATATATATATATATTTGTTTTCTGAGGTTTTCGTGGGTGTTTGTATGTAGGTCTTTGTTTATTCGGGTTTTCTCCCATGTAAAATTGGAAGTGTCTTGGCAACGTTTCGACGAAGTCCCATTCGTCATCTTCAGGCTGGTGTTTTCAGCTTTGTGCTTCTAGGAGCTATGACCACACGTTGCTCCTAGAAGCACGAAGCGAAAAACAGCAGCCTGAAGATGACGAATGGGACTTCGTTGAAACGTTGCCAAGACACTTCCAATTTTATTATATATATATATATCCATTTCCCTCTTTTTTTAAAAAAAAAACGAATACACAGAATATCTTTAAACAGAGGGGAGTAACTTATGAATTTGTATGCCCATACATAAAACATATTTGTTAAATGATTAGCACACATTGCTGATAGGACACTTGCTAAATTGCTAAACCCAGTTCTAGGAGTCAATTGGTCTGCTGGCCATTTCCTTATTTCTTCCTCCAGTTTTGTTCAAATGGGTCACTGGTAGATATTCCAGCCGCAGCATTTTAAATGACTTGAGCTATTACTCACTAGTAGCTGATCTACCGTACATTTAATCAATTTTTACACAGCACCAGCTAGTCCACCAACTTAATAACAGAGCATAAATATTAGTCCAGCCTACACTGCTGCTTAAGGTCTTGCAACCCGCATTGAAGGCTGTTGCAAAAACCGTTCTACGAACTTGGTTTGAAGCTTGAAAACTAGTTCCTTTATAGAAAAGTGCCGGGCAATATTGTAAATGGAAAGCTTAGAAGAAGCATTTAAGTACATTTTAAAATAAGTTACAATGATGGAAGAGCAGAATTAGCTAAGGTGGATCAGTTATTTCGGAAGGTTAAAAAAAATATTGCATGTGTGCATATGTTTTTTTATGTGGATGTTTGAGTTTTGGCAGTGTAACTAATCCTCTACTTCATGTATTAGGAAGCGTATCCCAGTACGTTCAATCCCTGCCTTAATGTGATTGGAACCGTAGCTTTCAATGATTTGATGGTACAGCTGAAAACCCAGAAGCTTCCCATCCCTCTTCAGCATGGTTTTAATTTGAACTATTTCTGCAGGCTAGCCTCTTTATCTGATGTTCATGGGAGTTGAGGCACGCTGTTCTTCTTGGTGTCCTCTACCTAAAAGACACATCATGAGAAAGGCAGGGCTAGATGAATCAAAAGCTGGAATTAAGATTGCCGGGAGAAATATCAACAACCTAAGATATACAGATGATATCACTCTAATGGCAGAAAGTGAAGGGGAACTAAAGAGCCTCTTGATGCGGGTGAAGAAGGTGAGTGCAAAAGTTGGCTTGAAACTCAACATTAAGAAAACCAAAATCATGGCATCTGGCCCTCTCAATTCCTGGCAAATAGATGGGGAAGAAAGGGAGGTAGTGACAGATTTTATTTTTCTGGGCTCCAAGATCACCTCAGATGGGGACTGCAGCCAAGAAATTAAAAGACGCTTGCTCCTGGGGAGGAAAGCTATGG